CCGAGCGCCTTCTCTCTAGTCGATGGATCCGGGGCGAACTGTCACCTCTTATCTTTGTCGGCTCGTCGGACGGGACGTTGCGCAGCTACGTAGTTGATGGGCGTGCCGGCGTCCTGCGCTGGCAGGCGGACTACAAGCGGCTGTACCATACGTGCTGTACCAACTTAGATACCTGGGGTGTATTTATCACGCTAAGCGACAATCGCCTGAAGCTTGTGGATTTGCCATTAAAAAATAACCCACAATTGATCGACCGCGACGACACTAAAGGCGCTGTTCTCTTCGCGACCCATGAAGCAGCCAAGACACTGTGCGTGCTACTTAAGACAAACATTGTCAAGGTGTTTGACTGGACAATTAACAGAGTTCTGGAGTTGCGCACACAGCACGAGCTGCTGCCGTCTTTACTGCCAGTACAGCAGCTCGTGCTTCTCAGTGAAAACTATCTGTTTGTTCAGGGCAAAACGCAGTGGTCCGTTCTTCATCTTGACAGTGGTCGAATGCTGAACGTCGCAGCAGATGTGCTGCAAGATATTACGGAAGCACTGGAAGGAGCTAATGGGAAATGTGACGCGCTGGCACTGCCCAGTCGATTCATGGCGCGACGACGACAGCATGTGATGGATTTGCTTCTATGTGGTAAACGGAATGGAGTCATTTTGACGATCCATGAAGAAGAGAAAACATCAGATAATGAAGAAATAGCAGACGTGTACGGAGCTTTTGGAACAATTGCAGTCACAATGGGCCAGCGTGCTAGTAAAGCGCTAGATGTTTCAACGAATCAGCTGTGTCTAAAGGTGGACAGAAAGTTTGCATACAACACAACCCCACGAAGGGCATATTATCATCATCCATTCCTGCTTCTAGACCAGGCAGACCATATATCAGTCTACAACTATGGATCGCTGCGCTTTGCGCAGTCGCTCTTAGTCAAATCACCTTACAGCATTTGTGCTGCTCTCAATGTGGCGTCAGCGACAGCGGAAGATAGGGGCTCGCTCCACCGAGATGATCGACCGGCCACTTTGTACACTGTATCACCACCTTTTACATTTCAGACGCATCAAATGCTACCAATTGCACAGCAAGTCGCTGCATCGATGAAGATTAAGTGTCTTGATGATGCTGTCGCGCTTTGTAAGCTTTGCCCTGAAGATGACACTTTGAGCGATGCTGACCAGCGAGCGCTGTATGCAGAGTACGGATACAGTCTCTTCCGATCGCGAAGCCTACAGCAAGCAATGCTCTATTTCTACGAGAGTTCAATCGAAGTTATGGAAGTGCTGCTGCTTTTTCCCCGTAATTTAATTCCTCGTAAGTACAGTGCTATACACAAGAATAGCAACAAAAAGGAATATGTTTTGGAAGGTGATGACTTAAAGGAAAGTTTGCTGGCTCTCATTGGATTTCTGCGGCATAAACGTAGTGCATACTCACAGGACAACGTTAAAGCGTCAGCTATGATAAAACGTGAAAATAACGACATTGATTCACGCGAAGTAGGTACATTGGAACTGATTGACACAATGTTGGTGAAGTGCCTCGTAGTGGTCGCTGAAGAAGCGGAGTACGAAAAGCGAGCGAAACGTGCGCTGCTTAAAGTCGTCACCGGTGAAAATTGGTGTGAGATAGGAGAAACAGAAGTGTTTCTGCGAGCTCACCGACGATTTGAGGCTCTGTTGGCTTTTTACACTGCGCGAAAGCTGCACCGAAAGGCACTAGAGCTCCTGGAAGATTTGGAGCGTAGCGCCGCTTCGACAGCTGTACACACTCCTTCAGAAGCAACAGAACACTTGTCGGAAGACAGCAGAGATCTGCTATCATCTCATGATTACATGGTGCTCATTGCACAATATCTTCGGAGGCTCGGACAAAAGCATGCTGAGCTAATATTTGAATTTTCGCGACGTGTATTATCTGTTGATCCTTCTCTCGGTCTTTCAATCTTCACGCAGCGTGATGTCGCGGACTCTAGACGTGACATTGATCATGCCGCAGTACTACAACACATTAAGAGCTGCTCTATTGCTTCTTCGTGCTCAAGTGACATTCCTCTTGGTACTGATACAAGCATCCCGGCGGACATATCAACACTGAGGTTGCCATTGATAAATTGCCAAATGCTGGCTATCGAGTACCTAATTCAAGTTATAAATGAAAGACCCTGTGATTTGACACCGCGATTGCATGACGAAGTAGTATATCTGCTACTGGATGCAATCCACAAAAGCTCTTCGCACAACCAACATCTCACCAGTCGCGTTGAATTGCAGGGTGGCATGACGGGGCTTCTACGTCGCAAGCTTCTTTCATTTCTCGAATATCCTCGCGCTGCCTATCATCCTGAGCGCATGCTGAGCCGTACACCTATTGAAATGGTGGACGAACGTGCAGCACTACTATCGAAGCTCGGCCGTCACCTCGAGGTCCTTCAACTGTACGCTTTACAGCTAGAGGACGCTACTTTGGCGGAGGCCTATTGTAATCGCTGCTTCGATTCGAAGACGGCTGATTCTTCTATTTACTCAACACTGTTGAAAATATACTTAAGTCCACAAATACGCAAAAATGGATCAGCGTCGTCGCCTCTTCAATCTTTTGGAAGCGCATCTTTCAGCTCTGATCCACAAAGCAAAGCTATACACGCAGCCATCAACGTGCTGAACAAATATGCTGAGCGGATTGACGTGTCCACGGCCCTTGACCTCTTGCCTGCTGATATCCCTATGGCATTATTGGCTGAATTCTTTCGGCGCGTGCTTGAGCGTAAGGTTGAGCGTTTCCGCAACGGCCAAGTGAAGAAACACCTTTCAAAAATGGAGAATTTTATGGTACGCGGGCAGCTATCTCTGCTGCGTCAGGAATCAGTCACAGTGTGGTCGTCGCAGTGCTGCCAGTCGTGTGGCAAGAAGCTTGGCGTTGGCGCATTTGTGCGCTTCCCCGTCGGTTTAGTGCATTACTCCTGTCAGCCCGTTACGTAGATTCTAGCAATCAATTTGGAGTTAAGTCGTATCCTTTGAGGACTTTAGGCTTTTGCCATGATGATTGGCCAGTAAGTATATCAAAATAGTAATATTGGCGTGAATGATGATCAAATACTTTTTGGATGCGCATTCGTAGAAGTCGATGAAGTTCAAGACGTGCGACAGCACAGCGCATGAATGTGAACAAAATTTGTGTGGCCTCACTGGACACTGTGACTGTGTGTAAGCGTCGTCTTTTAACACTTTTTAGAGAAGCGTTTTTGGTCTGCTCGCCATCTAGCATAAAAGAGGGTTTCTCCCACTTGGCAACTCCAGTTTTTGGGTTATAGTAGTAATACTGCTGGGTGATTGGGTCGTAGATTTTCTCAAATGGGTTGAATACTTGACCACGCAACTCGTACTTGGCGTGACGAGTGCGCCACATCCGCTGTATACGCAAGGCAGCTTCTTCGCATGATATATGTCGTAGGCGCTGCAGCCTCCGTCTATGTCGTTTAATTCGAGCTCGATCACTGACACGGAAGCATTCGCTTGTACCGGGCAAGTATGACGAGATAGGGACAAGTGTCGGCTTAAGCGTATAAAATGCTGCGGTGGTAGATTCAACTGTGAGTTCAAGGTCGTGAAGTCCCAGCAAAATTGGCTTGAACCAGGAAGTTGTACCAGAGACGCTGTCATAGTAGTATGGCTGACCCGATATTGGATCCATCAACTTGCGATAACGACTATTTATCAACTCAAACAGCGTGACCCGAGTTGCAAATCGTCGGTACAACGCTTGAATCATGCACGCAGCAGCTTCATTGCGTTTAAATATCTCCTTCAAATTACCGTTTTGCGTTTGTCCGTCGCTCTTGTATTTGAAGCGTCGAGAGATCTTTGGTCTAACCACGTCGCAGTTTAGAAGTACATCGGGTATCTCCCACGTCGATTCCTTCGTCATGACATTGAAATAATAGTGTCTACCGATCGTAGCATCCCAGAGTTTTTTAATACGTGAACGCAAAATACGACGCATTAAGTTGCGGCCTCGATGGCGTCGGTACGCACGCTGTAAAATCTGAGCGGCCTCATCTAGACTCATGTTAGCAAACCTTGTAAGCCGCTTGATTTCAACAGGATCGCCTAAATCATACCGCTTTCGAAGCAATGGCGGGGGATCCCACAACTTTGCACATGGCTCTTTGTTTACCTTTGAGATAGCTGGCTTTCGAATGTAAAAAATGAGTCCTTTTTTCAAATCCAAATGCTTTTCGTACTGACTTTGCAGCTTTAGTAACATCAAACGGCGTGCTTGCTTTCCTCGCCACATGGATTGCACCTTTATCGCCACTTCAACTGCCGTATATGGAGGTAAAACCCTTGGTGAAGCATCCGGATCACGAATGGCCAGTTCATAATCTTCATCTAGTCCCACTGGACGAGTCCACGACTTGCTCCCCTTCCACAGATTGTAATAAAAAAAATTGTTGTGCTGGATACTAAAAATCCGCTGGTAGCACTGTTCACGAGCACGCTTCAGCAAGTTTTGAGCTCTTCGCGCACGATATAGACATTGTAGCTTGCGCACAGCTTCATATTCTTCCATAGCAACTCCTGCCTTCCTTAATCCGTGTAGCTGACGTTCGTGCGAGCAATCGCGGCACATCCACAAGCGCATAGGGGAGGGCTGAAATCCATTGCAGCGCCAACACAGTCGACACAGGGGATGAACAATCGATTTTATGTCAATATCGTTGATGCGTTGGGCCTCTCGAATTTCTTTTTCTTCTCGAGTACGTCGGTCAGCGAATGGCTCGGGTCGATCAAGAAGTGGAATATATTGCGAAGGTACGGCAACTTTGGTGCTTTTACTGATTGAAGGCATTAAAGCCGAACTACAAGACGATCTGGGTACTCTGGATAAATTCAAACACGGAATAATGCAGGGCATGTCACACCAAAGACGTGACACTTGAGGCCATTCGTAGCTTGAGGCATCATGACTAGCAGTGCTAAATACCGTGAAATTGCGTCCACAAGCTAATGACGTGACGCGTCCAAAGCGTCTACCATCACATAATTGCAATTCGGTTGGGACTGCATGAAATGTCTGTGAGCTGCCCCATGTGTAAATGCGGTTGGTGGTTGTTAGCACTGCCGTGTGGTGTGTCCCGCATGCAATTCGAGTTGCAAAATCTTCTTTGTCGAGTTCACGGGATGACAAACGAACAGGTCGAGGTTCGTCAACAAACCGACTTTTTCCTATGCCAAGCTGCCCATAGATGCCTGTGCCCCACGTGAAGATGCGACCGGCTTTGCTCTCTACCTGGGAAGCTTCAGCTGCGATACATGCGCTGTGCCACGATCCGCAAGCAATGGTAAGAGTGACAAGATTTGTAAGCAACCCATTCACCACAAAGGGCTGAGTTATATCGCTTACTGGCTTGCCCCGGCCTAATCGTCCACCATCACTACACCCCCAAGCAAACACTTTGCCGTCTGATGTCAACGCCAAGGAATGCAAAGCTCCACATGCCACCTGACGCACTGAAATAGAGCGGAGTGCTGCCACCTGGTGGATTACTGCAGCTCGGGGAAAACATTTTGACATCGTCATAGCAGTGGGATTGGAAGGGCAGACACCGAGTTGACCGTGCGAATTGCTGCCCCAACTGAAAATGACCCCATCATGACCTGCAACATGATTACAAACAGCAATACTGTGGTGTCCTCCAACAGCAGCAGTGATTGTCTGATAGTTCGAGAGTGCTTCAATTAAGGTTACACGATTCTGTGCTACGTGAGCAGCGTTCTCTGCTGCGAAACCCAACGCTCCGTGTGCATTGTCGCCCCAACTGAAAACTTCGCCAGTCTTGGTAAGTGCCATGGCATGACCTTGCGCTACATATACGTGCTTTACCTGCTCAGTTTGCAGCGCATGAAGAAGAACAGGCGAAGCAAGCCAGTGACTTTTTCGCGAAGTCAGCTCAAACTCATTGCTGACATGAACGTTACTACACAATTCTGTTTGCGACGCCAAACCTCCCGTTCGACAAAGCCATGCAGCACCTCTAGCGCTATCTAGAGCGTAAACAGCGTCAGAGTCAAAGCCCTACAAGCACCATTTTATTCAGGAAAAATGGAAGCACGTTATGTTTGGCTTAAAAACGTACCGCTGCAACACTCGTGATGTAGTGACCCCGCAGTGGACGAATGTCAATGACATCAGCCCTAGGATGAGCTCCACAGAAGTATACGCTTCCTTGAGCTTTGCGGCTTTTTTCAAGCGCTCTTGCAGCAGCTTGTGTTGCTAAATTGAAAACTTCCACGTGCGAGTACACCCAGCGTTGTATACGACAAATTAGTAGCACCTTTTTCCCAGACGAAGGCAGATTAAGTGACAATGCTATGAGTCGAAGTTCTTCACGTGACATTCTCCTTAAATCCACATCTCGCCAATGGTTACGGCTTCTTGCATGACCAAAGGCTCGCAACGATGAATATGTGAAGCGAATGTCTTGTCGGAAACGCTGAAAGGTTTGATGCAACAGGTGAATTCGATATGCGCGTTGAATCATCGTGGCTGCTATTTGTTGTCGGCGTTTCAGTCGACCGGGCTTCCATCCAGACTCAAGCTTGCGCTGTGCAGCCTTCACCTTACTATTTCGCTCGACTTGAGCCTGACGCATCATGCCTAGATCCATCTCACATCAAGATCTGGACAGACGTAGACAAGGGTCCTGAAGCAGCAACAGACGCGTCGTTTCATCAAAACAAACTGATTTATATAATGCAGTCGGGGGTGGAAATTACCACAGCCACATCCCATTTCCGCCCGATGCTTTTCGGCAGAATTGTCTAAGATTTTCTTCAAGAGTGCGCAGTTCACTCAAATTGCATCTGAACGGATGATTAAAGCGGTCGACTTATAAGGTTACAAAAGATGAAAGCCGCTTAAGGAATAAGCAAGTTTGAATGGACGAGTAGAAGCGGCCATTGTGTCCTCAACCTTGGCTACTTAAAAAACGCCAACTATCCAGCGCTGGTACTTGTCGTACCACCGTGTACGCCAATTGTCCAGCGATGCATCGATAAGGGCTTGCACAAAATCTTCGCAAGAGTTTATGTCCAAGTCTGGTTGAAAGCGCGCGGCAAAACGATTGACGGTGCCTTTAGGATCTCCCGCAAAACATGGCAAATGCTCGTTACCTTGCAACATCATTTCCACCAGCAAAGTGAAGCGGTAGCGATACTTACGAGCTACAAGGAACGACCGCACACAGAGTGACCGAAATCGCTGAAAATGAGCAGATCGGGGGCCGCCCATGAGCTCAACAAAATCGGCTGTAAGTTTAAATGGAGCCTGCTCAAAAGCCATATTACCTGGATTATTAGCCAAGATATAGCCAAAGTCAATGTGGATAATGTGACCCTCAGCATCCAGCAAAATGTTGCCGTTGTGGCGATCCTTGATCTGGAGGAGAAAGCACACGATCGCGTAACCAGCCATGCTGCTTACAAAATTGGCTCTGGCTTTTCGAAATTCGGCAGTACTTGGATCACCAAAATGCCTGGTGAAAAAGTCGAGTAACGTCGTAAACTCACGATCGTTGCGCTTCAGCGAATCCAGAGAGATAGTATCCGATATCGCCTCAACAAGACCAAAATTGGCTGAAATGGCAATCACATCGTATGGTCGGATGAAGACAGGCACCTTAAACTCATTGAACACCTTTGCAAATTGATGAATGAGCTGCAAGGCTAGTTGCTCTTGACGGAGATCATCGTCGCTTTTAACGATCACCGGCAGCAATCTCCATCCTGAAAGCTTTCCGTAGGAAGAAGTCGCTTGAATTCGACGCTCTTTATCCGCCCATCGCTCCTTAAAAATGACGCATGGCAGCTCTACCACTTGATGGCGTTTTTTAGGGGATAAATTTCTATTTTCAACTTCTTCATCAATCTCGAGTTTTAAATCACGCTCAGATAAATTCTGCAAAAATCTATCGGTACTGTCAAAGCGAGCCAGATGATGCGGAGAGCTCGCTGAGGCTTCTGACTGAGGCGACAATACTGTATCAGACTTTGGCGACCAGGGCCCGCTGGATTCAACTTCATCGAAATCCGTAGTGGCAGAAGTGATTTGAGCAGGTAAAGGCTGGCCTGAAATCATAGGTCGACGCTCCGCCAAATTTGTGTCAGCTGTCAAACCCCGTTTAAAGTATGTACCAGAGCTTCTGGAGAAAGGCTGGCTCTGGCTTCTCTCTGGTAAAAAGCGTTGATGTATTTCCTCCTCATCGTCACCCTGGCTTAGCAAGGCTTCAGTTTTTGAGTCCAGATTCTTCTCACCAGAGTTCTTACCAACCAGCGAGTCGATTAGTCCGTGCAGCAGCTCTGTCGGTTGCACCATTTTATTTGATATGTGGTGTGAGAACGAGCGAAGTCTTGTCGGGCTACTAGGCGTGCGCGATTCACTCCAGAATCCCAATTTGGCAGCATCAGGAGACACCAAGGGTGTGCGCTCAGCAGATGTGGTAGTTGCCACGTGGTCTTGCGTACCTGCAGAGTCCCACAAACCCAGTGTGAAACGTCTACCTTTAAAAACGCTGTTGCTACGCCGTTTGCGCTGTTCTTCTTGCGGAGATGGATAGTCTACGATTTCGGCACATAGCAAAAATGGAACTCGCTCTCGTGTTGAGAATGTGAAGCTCTCATCAACGTGAATATGCTTAAGTCGGTGATATGAGTTGCCAACAGGGAGATAAAGAGAGTTGTTCGGGAGGTACTGATCTTTCAAGTCCTGTAGCCAGATGCGAAGCTATGATGATGAACATATGTCAAGCAAACATCTCGATATACAAAAGTGCATGACGTACCATATCATTGCGCCTGCCATACGGTACAGCGCGTAAATTTGACGATATGTTTGCTAGTAAGCCCAAAAATGCAGTCTCAAGTTCAAAAGGCTCCACACCAGAGACAGCTGATGGTTTATGATTTCTTGTCGACCTCGTTAAGCCCCATTTAAAGTCATGAAAAGTATCGTAGTGATCTTCCTGAGAGCTTAGTAATAAAGCTTCAGCCTCTTGTGCACTAGCTGATACCTCTGATCCACGGTTCGCATAAACCTGCTGCTGAGGTTGACGCTCCGGGCTTGATGGATTAGCAGCGACCATTGCTGGCACCATGCCACGCTCCAAAACATCTATAATCAACCCTTGTACACGCTGGTTATCAGCTTCGGTGGAAAAGACCGGATTATGCACGCAGTAGGACTGTATGTACCAAAACATCTTGTGAGCAAACACATGTGACCTGTGACGTAATCATAAACGTTAGTGCCCACATAATTATCATGATATAATCTCTTACGGCTGCTTACTCCGAGCATTTACGTAAAAGTATCGCGTATAATTGTTCGGAGCGTGCAAAAGCACTTAACAATAAAAAACTGCACAGTTGTGGCAGGTAGAACTCAAACTCGGCTTCGTCTTGGCTTGAAGACACGGCAAGTCGATCCAAAGCGCCTTCATGGTGAGCGTAGAGACTCACTATGGCCTCAAATGTCGAATCCTTGGTCTTACGCCGACCTGCAAACTGTTTACTTAGAGTGGCCCATTTAGATCTCCACTGAGCGCGCGGAGTCTCGCTCCTTACCTCCCACAGCAGTTTGTCATCGGCCAGCCGACCTCGACTTTTATTCAGCTGCAATATATAGCTAAGTTGCAGTAATGTACTGAAAATCGCCATTGCACCTAGTACGGCTACATAGAAATCACCCCATGGCACTTGACGATGTTTAGAGAAGGTGTTGATGCGGTGACCATCCATATACAGCAGCGGCTGCAAAGATCCAAGACAGCATGTGGCAACTTCGATGAGAGAAACAACAAATACAAAGCATCGCGTGGACGGTACGCGCTTGTTGCGGCGTCGGATGTAGACGAAGAAGAGTAAGCGCAACAGCGACAGTAGCGGCTGGAGCGCTAATGACTGACGAAACTGTAGCGGTGACCGCAGATCTCGCAGTAGAAGATTATTGCCACCAGGGGACGCTAGCGGCACTAAAAAGTACCAGCCAAGCACTGAAGACTCCGCTGAGAGCGTAAGAAGATTATAGACGCCCATGATACGCGCAACTGTGGCGAGGATCAAAGTATCGATTGGATTCCGCAGAGTACTGATTTGATCTCGTGTTGAATGATTGGTAAATAAATGGAGTTTTTCGGTAATCGAATGGGTGGAGCCATGTTACTTTGGGTAACGTTATGGGTCCCATATTAGACGAAATACAGATTTTTCTCCTAAGCTCTACTACCACCACCTTAATATCCTTCTTCGATTCAGTACGGACGTGAGCGGCGATCAGGTCGGTCTCGAAAGTCACGGTCTCCGCCGCCGCCGTATCGGCTGTAGCCGCCGCCACGTCCACCACCACCGCTTCGGCTACCGCCCCCGTACCTATCACTTCCACCACCATAACGTCCACCCCCCCCACCGCCGCCGCCGCGACGACCTCCACCACTACCACCATGCCAGCCGCCTACTGGAGGCTCAGGCTTTCCTGCAAGCTCCACCTTAATAACCTTGCCGCGAATCTCAGAACCTGTAGCAGCATGTCAGCGTTAGTTTAAAGCAAGCTAGCGACAGAGCTGAAATCGACGTGCCGTTAAAAAAATCAGGCGCTGTACGAGCCGCGTTTGAATCCTCGTAGGTAAGCACCGCGTCGCCCTTCGGTTGTCCACCAGCATCCGTGTAGATTTTAATCTTAAATGGCCACTGGTCTTTATAGCCACGCTTCTGCTTTTCACGTGCGACGACACCAATGGCACCAAACATTTCCTGTAGCTCGTCCGTCGTCGTATCCGCGGGAAGGTTCGAAATATAGATCCGCGCCCAGGTTGGGTCATCTAGAGCCTCCTTCGCCGGGTCCCATGCCTCTGAAGCCTGAGGTTGGTTTTCTTCGTGATGGTCTTCTACTCTTGCCGATATATCCTCTTCCCTGTCATAGTCGCGAGCGCTACTATTGATGCTCGGCTCGCTTTGGCGTGGTGCGTCCCTACTTGAACGTCCGCGGTCTCGAGTCCGATCATAGGCATCATCACATCGATACGCGTCTCGTTCGCGCGGTCTAAAATTTGAATTCTCCTGACTGTGTTCGCCACCGTACCTGGCGGACGAGGAGCCAGCAGAGCCCCCTCTGCGACCATCGCGCTCTCGATAGCTCATGGTCGCTTTAGTATATCGGCTATGTGCATTAGTACAACCCATGCGTGGGCCACACCTAAGTGTGTGCTAACTTAAGGCTCATTATCGGCTTATGCCACATAATTTCTTTTCAGCCAATACTAGATCGTCTATCGAGTCAGCACTGAGAAGCAAATTACAACAGAGAAACCCCCATCGGACTCTCTACTCTCACTCAGCGCAAGGTTGTACCGCAAGTAGACGTTGCGGCAAGAGATCCCAACCATGGATGAAAAATCAAGGAAACCTGAGGGTGCATTATCATTCTGATTTTGTCTGTTATTCCATACTCCGTTGACCTTGACCATAATATTTTCAAATTGCAGACACACCATTCAAGCAACAAAAGCTCAAGGCCTGGCAGCCAATATTGACTCCTAACTGGGTTATTGGGACTTTTGCTATTGTTGGTCTTATCTTCATACCCGTTGGCATTGTGCTGCACACTGAGTCGGACAATGTGCGTATCTGCTGTGTGTGTCAATATGGAGGTTACTTTGCTCAGTCTTCTTTTAATTGACACAGGTGGTCGAGTATTCGATTCAATATGATGGAGATGCATTAACACCGTCGTCCAATATTGTGGACCAGGGAAATGGCTGCTTTTTAAGCACAGAAAGCGAAGGCGACTCGTTCGATGTGGATGTTCATGGCTGCAGAATTACGTTTCGAATTGAAAAGGAGATGAAAGCGCCAATTTACTTGTATTACCAGCTCGACAATTTCTATCAAAATCACCGTCGCTATGTGCAAAGCCGTAGTGACGCGCAGCTTCGCGGAGATGCTGCAGCCAGTACTAGCGACTGCTCGCCCCTGACGACATCTGGCACAGGTGTTAATAAGTACAACTCGACAGCACAGACGCCGATTGGTAACAATCAGACCGACTATATACTGATGCCTTGCGGTTTAATAGCCAACAGTCTCTTTAATGACATTTTTTGGGTTAACAAGCTTGTGACCAATGGTAATACATACTACCAGAATGACACGTATGGAGGCAATACACTCGTGAACCTTGTTGATCAGACGGGTATTGCTTGGAAGTCGGACGTCGAGACCAAATTTAAGAATATCAATCTGAACGAGCTAGCAGACCCTGATAATACTTTACTGATTTGGCAGAACCCGCGCTACCGCTACATCATTCCCATGTACAATGGCCAACCTCCCATCGCGAATAAGACTGCTTGGACGACGCCTGCACCAGCATACGGTGTGCAAAATGAGCACTTTATTGTATGGATGCGAACTGCCGGTTTGCCAAGCTTTCGCAAGCTCTATGGTCGTATTGACGTTGATCTTGCAGAGGGCACGCAGCTTGAGTTTCTCGTCTCCAGCAGTAGGTTTTCTCTCTTTGCTTAATGAACTGTGAAACTAATTTTTAAGTTTTTGGCAGATTTCGTAGTGAGCACGTTTGAAGGTAAGAAGTCAATTGTGATCTCGACGACATCATGGTTCGGCGGAAGAAATCCGTTTCTTGGCATTGCGTACATCATCGTGGGTGCGCTCTGCATGTTACTGGCCATTTTGTTCTTTGCAAAGCACAAGCTGAGTCCTCGTAAGCTGGGTGACACAAGATATCTCGTGTGGAAGAACAACCACTAAAGCGCAAACAAGCAAGTAAGCGACCCGGATGACCTATGGTATGATAGCGAGCAAGTCGTAGGAAGTGACGAAGTAAAGTTAAAATCCAAATTTGCTTGCTTGCGTCGATAATGTATAGTTTCTTTCGTATCTGTCAGTGTTATTCCTATGTGGTGTTGTTTAAATATATATATTGGATCAGATATTGCCAGTCCAAATGCTGGCGGGTCGCTATGAACTTCTAGATAAAATAGGAAATGGTGCCTTCGGAGAAGTGCATCGGGCCAAAGACTTGGAGATGGGCCATATTCGAGCCATAAAGCGGCTCAGACTTAATGACAATGGCCAGCTCACCGTCATACCGGCAGTTCAATTTCAGGAAATTGAGGCGATGCGCCAACTTCAGCATCCTAATGTGAGGCATAGTCTTTACTCACATGGTAGTCAATCCAATAACTTTTTTGTTGTAAAGATCGTTCAGCTTTTAGATGTTGTACCTGATGGCAGCTATATTGCTTTGGTGCTTGAATACATGCCAAAGGACCTTCTCAGCGTTGTTCGAAATCGACAAGAGCCTTTGCATCTAGCCGATACTCGCGGACTTCTGCGAATGTTGTTGCATGGCATTGCCTGTTGCCATGAGCACAATATATTGCATCGAGATTTAAAGCCGGGAAACTTGCTGTTGAGTGCCGATGGCGTACTTAAAATTAGTGACTTCGGTCTTGCTACTGTATTCGCGGGACGGAAAGAACGCTCGTATTCTCACCAAGTGGCCACGCGCTGGTATCGTGCACCAGAACTGCTGTTCGGTGCACGTCATTACGATACAGCTGTGGACATGTGGGCTGTGGGCACTATATTTGCCGAACTACTGCGCCCGACTCCGCTCTTCGCTGGACAGAACGATTTAGACCAACTATTTCGAATTATTCAAGTGTTTGGCGATATTGAAAAGCAGTGGCCAGGCGTACGGGAGCTTCCTGATTTTGACAAAGTATCCTTTCCATCATACGAGCCTATGGCTCTTTCTACTGTTTTTTGCAACTCTCACGCTACTGCCGTGGATCTCCTTTCCAAACTACTTACACTTGACCCTAGCAAAAGACTGTCAGCTCGAAAGGTAGCAACAAAACGACTTTAGCGAAGCTTGTCTAATGTTTTGTTGAATGAGCAGGCTCTTATGCATGACTTCTTTTTTGAAGGGCCTGAACGCTTCTGCTTTTCAAATATTCACCCGAAGACTAGAATCAGCGAAAAAAAAACGCAGAAATTTGATGACTGCAACGCAAGGCTTGGCAAACCTCTGCAGCTGACAGAATTTATGTTATCACGAGAATTCGACCATACGGTGTTTTACACTTGATTCACTTTCAAATACTTATCGACCGTACTGTGTAGCCTCCGAGAACCGTTTCATCCAAACTTCTCGGCCTACGCTGGCAGGTGCTCGAAAGCGGAACATTTTATGGCCCGCTTCAGGTGGAATCAGCTTGATTTTGAGTTCATCTGTCCGGCTTCGGACAACACTGTAACCGCTGATGCTTACTTCACGCTCGATAGGAGGCTCGCGTTCCTCGTACTCGCTTTTTGACTTGTAGCAAGTGAGCGTGGCGTGCTTAAGCACATAAAAGTATTGACGCCATCGCGACGAGAAAACGTGTCCTCTTTCATAGCGCTCAAGGTAGCCCGACACCTCACGACCCTTATCAGTGATTATGTCAACTGTGTCGATGGTACGCCTCGTAGCTTGCATCGTGCTTTGATAAAGTGCTTGTTGTTCTGCCAATGCATTTTCAATTTGGGTCTCAGTATTCCGTATCGCACCCTGTAATGAATCCACCTGCTCATCATGAATTTGCTTGATTTTAGCAATAGTTTCGTCTTGTTGTCGGTCCCACTCGGCAATGTTGTCAGTAAAATGCTTGACATGACGTTCCTTTTCTCCCAGTGATTTCTCTAAATCTGTGATGCGACGCAAGTTCTCGATACATACTGCCGAAAAGCGGTCATGTTCTAGCTGCGTCAGGTACTGCAATTGGCGACGGACTGGTCCATTCCAAAATCCGGCTAGGACAGTAGCAATTTGAGGGCCGCGCGCGACAAAGTTATACTGAGACACCATTGCCTCAAGATTGTTCTTGTAGGTTAGCAACTCTAACGGCACCTTAGTAAGCACAACAGGTGCATCGGCAACCTTCTTGTCGTCAAGCATGATTGAAGAAACAGCGCGACCTCGCAGTTGTTGCTGTTGCTGAGTCACTGTATCTGTCTCGTTTTTGCTGAGCACTACAGAGTGTAGATAACGAAGCAGTTCACTACAAAAAATAGCTGACGAAACTTCGTTCGCGCGCTCAAAGCGCCTTCTTACCCGTCCCATCTTTGCCCACAATTTTTTCTTTTCAGCCCGAAAGTCCAATGGACTGGCGAGCTCTGGATCGAGCGGCGATGGGCTACGCAGACCCACAAGAAGCTCATTTACCAACGTATTGACTCTTCCCAATCCTTCTGCATGAATCGTGTCGAGCACTGAAGTGTCCACGGGCATAGCCTCCTTTTGTAAATTGCGATACTCGCCAGGAACTATGTAGCGTGCTATGCTATCATTACATTGAGCTAGAAGTTGGTCAGGTGTATGCTCTATCTGTGACTCCTTCGATGCCTCAACAGCTTCTAAGTTACCATCAAACCTGCCATTTTTATCTTGAGTGATTGTTCCTCTTGCATCTGTTGTTGCTGTACTCCACCGATTCGTGGGAAATCGCAATAACTGTTTGCTCAAAGCGCGGCCAGCCGTGTTCTTCAAAAAGCTAAAAAGTCCAGTATTCAACGACTCTGAAGATGTCGGCGTACCAGAACTCCCACCCTCCTTTTCATTGGATACTTGCTGTCGCTTTAAATTACCAAACTCATCAAAAATCGAGGATTTGTCTCGTCCAGCGACCACGTGATGATTGTGTTGTGCTTTTAGCTTTTGCTCAGTAATTGCCACTAGATACTCTGCGGATATTGAAACGCGCTCATAAACTGCTAATCGCGCGTGTATCAGATTACAATATGACTGAAAAGCCTGTTGCTCGAGGTCCTGCCAGTGTGCAGTAAGGACATCTGTCATGACACGCTGCAGCACTAGGGACGCTCCATTTGACGCGTTTATCTCATGGAACAGCGCTTTAATTACTCGCGCTGATAATGCTCCGTTCAGATAGTAACCGAAAAAACATTTGCACTCCAACCGATCAGCTACATGTGTCAACAGTTTGGGAGACGTATGTGGGTTTTCTGGTGCAGTAAACGAATTGGACTTCAGCACCACGCAGTCTCTTGACCTTACGAGAGTACTTAAAAGTAGCTGAGCGTCTGTCATTCCCGCAGCCAGCTGCTGCTCAAAGTAGGTCGAGGCTGAGTCACATCCATTCATATCTTTAATTTTAAGATCCACAGCTCCCCAAGTAAAACGCGGGGACACGTCCTTCAACAGCTCTGAATTTCGATCTGCACTGACAGAATCTTCACTTATTTTAAGTTCAGCAAAACTTGCAAGAAACGGCAGCGCGGTCTCAAAACTGACATTAGTGATGGGTCCAGCCATGACAGTCACTACGTGCGAACTAAGCACGAACAACAGTAGACCCCAAAATGGTTCTTTCACCAGCGATACACCACGCAGTACTAAGAGAAGCATGTTTGTGTCCTGACTTGCTGCAGGGACACTGGTAGAGCTTAGATATAAACCACGTTCAGTCAGCTCGCCCTCCTTCTTGTCATCTGGAACGTAATTCATACCTACAAACGCCACTTTCCGCGTTATAAGTTTCACTCCATGGAGAACGTCTAAACCTGCATCATGAAGACGTATATCGTTACAATTCCAGCCTTGTGAAGTCGTACACAGTGGCACCAAGTTTATTGTGTCTCTAAGGACTGCCGCCATCTTGATTGACCAATCGTAAAAGACTCACTAAGAGTAAAAACGTTTTATGTGCTAATGGATTTAACAGCATTGTTATCGCACATAAAACGTAAATTTTATCGCACATAATGTTTATTTCAATTTCAGAATTTACATTTTAAAATATTTTAGCATCGTTATACCTCATGAACAACAAAAACTTTTAAATTCGATTGCTCCATACAGTGCATTTCTGAAACAAAATATGATTGGAGACATGTTTTTAGTCTCACATTATACTAATCAATCTTCTAAAAAGACGTGCTACAACTCGTCTTCTTAGAACATTGCAATGAGTTCGAAATAGTGTCTATGTTACTACATTAGGATATCAAAGACGATCGTTGTATCTGGTGTTGAACCTTGCTCATCCCAGCCACGCAGCCATGTAGTAAGTTGTTCCGTTCAGGATGTGATCAATAATTAAATCCTTCACCGAGCTGAATAATCATTAGGAATCTACTTCAGCTCCTGGGATGACCATATAAGTACATGCAATCAGTTTGCTGTGCACTTATCACAGAGATTACAAACCGACAGGGGTTGATTCCGTGCGCTTGCGCAAGTGTTAAAGGTGTCTAAGGGTTTAATTCTTATGTGGTGGCACCTTTGTCGAGCCTGCAGGTTCTGATAGAGAGGTAGCAGTCCATCAGAATGGAGCTTGTTTTCGGTCGTTCGACGATGCGTTCGATAATACCGATTTGGTGGTCTATGTGAACCATCTGGATCCGATAGCTCATCTAGCTGCTGGCAGCAAAAATGTGGTCGGTGTGAATTATGCCAAGCTTTTTCTCGGCAAAGCGTTTCGCCAAACTGGCTGCCAGTAGCAATTGTATCGAAGAAGGGTCCGCGCTTTATTGCTAACTTTTGGGCTCAGCACCAAAACATAAATGTCAACTTCTGGTCGCCAGAAGATAGGTGATGAGACGGTACGCGTGATCTGCGTCTAAGAGGATACACTCCGAAGTACTTGTGCGGAGAGGCCGCGGTGCTGAAGCGAACTGGCTCTTGATGAAATTGTGTCGAATGTTGCAGTACATGCCTCAACAGGTCTGACTGGTCTTGCATAAATGGTCTGGTGAAGCCTGGGTGCATTTATTACCGCCACGAAGCGGCTTCGGTCTTAGTGTGGTAAGGCTGTCGATCAAAATCGACTTGATGAGATCAAGAAAGATACATTTCGTAGCAAAGTTTTTTTGTCAGACATTGAGAGTCATGCGCAGGGTGCGCGACGCTGTGACTGAATGCCAAGATAAATATGAAGCTATAAACCGATGTTATAGGCTAGCGGGATATATGAATATATGAGAAGGTAATATTTTATTGACTGCAATTAACCTATCTACAAATTCAGTGTCTGCAGTCTATAAGACTGAACTGCGACCGCAATACATTGAACAGCTCACGGTCATGGCGGAAAGGATTAAGCTATACTCTGAAAATTCCAACAAGAATGCAAACGCATTCAGAATCCTATGTTGGCTTACGTTCCTGCAAGTCAGAGCTCTGTTGCGCTCAAAGCGAAGTCTCTTCCATCCCCAGTAGCTATGCTCCTTTGTATCAAAGCAGCGACGCGGTTCTAAACCACCAAGGGTGTCTCCAGCCAGACAATGCAGCGACAAAGCTCGAGAGTGAACTAGAGATCTGGCTTTAATCGACCACACGCGCACGCCGTGACTCTTAGAGGGAGTCAGCGTGTCGTTACAACCAAGATCTTACGAGAGCCAGCCGTGGGAGGATTAACTTTAGCTGGCACTTGTCGATAATCGAGAGGCGATCCACTTCGTGTGGAATGGTTGGCGAATTGACGGGTACATGAGGCATGTTAACCGTACCTAGTTTAGTGGAAGAGTTATCCCCAGTCTAAAAGGTCGCGAGATCCCACATTGGCAGCGTTGCCCTGACGATGTAACCACTTATGACTTGGCGCTTCTTTGGCCTTTGTTTCCCTTGGAGTAGAGACAGGTTCGCCCGTCGCAGTGCTCTTTACCCTGGTGGGAGGATTCCAACCTTGCGGTGAATAGGGCTATTGTTTGGACGCTGATATGGCTGTCTTCTGAAGACTAGCGAGGTCGTTTTAGCACAGACTAGAGCTGGTGGTTTGTCCACTCGGCGGCTGCCATAAATAGTAAAGCATGAGACGTCTCAGGCAGACGCCTGCATAGCTAAAGTAGCTTGAAGAGCTTTTTGTATGGGTGTGGCGGCGTATTTTCCTCTATCATTGCGATAGCAAAGTCTGCTATTAAGTGGCAATCTCACCAGCTTCCAGTGTACAGCTTGCAATCCTCAAGGAAGATACGAGCTTTACCAGCCACTGCGACTCCTGGCTTTGACGGTTCTTATAGGACAACCAGTGGACTGAGAGAGCACTCGCATAACGACTTATCGCGCTCATTTGCTTTGAGTATTGGCGATCGCCCACACGCATAGAAATGTTAAAGCTCCACACTACAGCGACGATCGACTTTGAGCGGTTTGCACCTGTAAAACCGGCGTCGGTTTCCTCGACAGAGTGTCAAAACACTTTTTAATGTCAGAGAAGGGCACGGATCTCGAGACTAATGTGACTGGGAGGCTGCGTGCCGTGAGCGCCTCTTCCAATATACGACTAGCCGTTTTTTGCCATTTGAAGACGATAGTGTTTATTCGGGACTCGGGACGTCACTGGTTCCGTTCATCGAGATACACCTCGGCAGCCTTCCCGAGAATTGTTGTACGCGCGTCGGCCGCGAAAATTGCTTTTTTGGCGGGGTCTTGCTGAGCAAGTCATGTTTTTTGTGCACGGGAGAGTATTGTCGTTCAACTACTCTCAGATGCAAGCATGGTAAAGTGCAGAGAGTGGAGTGGAATTTTAGGCATTGTTGCCCGTTAAGCGGTCTTTTTTGCGCAGTGTTCTACCGATTTAGCTAATGTGTGTACCGCTATTTTCAAGCCTTAGTGGTGGGTGTAACGGAGCAAGTAATGTAATTCTGTGTACTACACTCTTACACATCTGGTACAATTGTACTTAATACAATATGAACGAAATTCATCGGTATCAGACTATCAGTATATATGAATATCCCGGAGTTCTGAAGAAGAGGGCTCCAAGGTTTACGTGAACTGCTAGCCACACGTCAAAAAGAGAAGACAGCTTTAGGATCAGAAGATAGTGAAACGTCTGTATATCTAATTAGCCTATATAGAATCGATTCGAAACATATAAAATATATTTCTCTCGGAATAGCAGAGCTAGATAGAGTGACATATCGCGCTCATGTCTGACCGCTTCCGAGGTGGTCAAATCATATGTCTCATACCTTATTCCTACATTGGATTGTCATCATGAGGCACCACTACACGCTGAATGTCGTATGGGTTTGTGCTACGATACAGCAAGCCTTGACCAAAGGCATATTGATGCGGGCTGTAATCGACCGCTTTGACGAAGTGATAGCTGAGCTTTCAAACTCTCAAGCCTCCCTGATAACACATCCCGCACATTGCACGCATCGCAACATCAATCGGCGTCGTCATTACTGTGACATGCGATAATTCTTACTCGGGATGACACGAGAGCGCATCTGCCACCACATATACCTTATCTCATGAGTTAAATCGGAAAAGATGTATTACTATCTATCTGTTCTATGTGGTAGATGTGGTGACGACGTCACTGTGCTCAATGGTGCACAATTTTTTTATAGATCACAAACAGCTAAAAGCCAAGACGGTGCACTCTGAATGGACGAGGGTATGGTCCAATTGTAGTAGCTCCTTTTCAGCTCTGAGTTATGAAGACTCATACACGAAGACACACCTGACGATGACCTCACGGATATCTGGAGGTTGTCGCACACATTACACAGACAAAGATTTGACACCAGAAGCTCACGCTTACAAACGCATAGAGATTGAGTGCGTATGCTAAAGTAAGATTTAGAACCAAGAGCCTTTAACATACTAATTTATCTAGTTTGCAAGGCTTTTTTGAGAATAAATATAGTCAGGAGTACTCCTGTAGAATTATACATAATAAGTACGTATACAGTTTGTGACAACAAATTTATCTTCGCGCGGCTGGCAGCCCACTCGTTCCATTACCCCCTTCATCGTGATATTCATGGATATTGGTACTTTAAACTTTGAATAATCACAGTCTTATTAGGGTGTAATGAAACCCGTAGTGTATCAATGAGAATTGTACTCATGTGTCAAGTGTAAGTACGAGATGACAGTATTTACCTCTCACCCTAAAACAAACTAGGAAGAGGAACACACTGATGATAACATTTATTTGTCTTTTAAGACACTGCACAAAATGACAGCTCAACAAGCAACAAGTCCATCGCCACCCGCTGCACTTTACCGCACCTGCTCCATTGAGCAAACATGCACCGGACGTCCCCCCAATGCACTCAACCAACCGCTTAACGGGCCCATCAATAAGACACGGGCACGCACTAAAAGCAATTCCTGCCGAGGAAGTTGAGGCGTCACCCGATACAAACGGTCGCGTTACCTCCAAGTAAGACCCATCATCTCAGCCTTCACCCAACGACAACGGCTTAGCTGTTTACTCGGCCATTGCACTGAGCCTTCCTGGGGGCTTGAGTGTTGAGCTCAAGCCATTTTTAATCAGCGGGAAGCGTTGCGACTCTCCCCGTAAAGCTTATGGCAAATTCATCTTGTAATTAACGAGCTGGTTCTGACGCACGGACCCCAGCTTCCTCTGCTGCAGGCGCAAGGGTCAAGCATATGCTTGCTTAGACAGACCATCAGGCCGACTATTGCTCGAATCACCAAGCTACAACTATGGCTTTAAACCGTATAAAGCCGCTTGCTCAGTCCTTACACAACTATGCACACGGATCTTCCTTCACACTTTGGACAAAACGGGTGCGAATAAGTTTTTCAAAGGTTTTTTTAACCGCTATAATCGCTCCCACGAGTGCTGTCTGCACTTAGAGCACATGAGTTGGGGGGGGCGTACAGTTTATGGC